TGAAAAAGCAGCTGGCTTCGGGGTGGTGGCCCTGGAGGTTTACAGCTGTTGGGCTGAGCCTAGAGGCTCCAAACACAAAATTGCCAAGAAAACAAAAGTTTCCAAGCACTATCATCAGCCCCTGGCTCTGCTGCCTCCAGTCAGGGTCTACAGCAGTGATAGCGAACATTTTAGAAATGGAGTACCTACCCTGCAACTCCAAACCCATTTGTTTATCAAAGTCCCAACACTGTAACTCAACCAGACTACTGAGGTTTTTAGTTTAGAAAAAACTGTTACACAATGCTAGGCTGCTAGGGCCACTTGACTAAAATGCTGGCTAAGGGCTCTCTGTGTGCCTGCTGCATGCATACCATAGGTTTGCCATCACTGATCCAGAGGAACCCTATCATAGTTGTTCAGAATGGGCGCACATGTAAGACTGAGTTTGCACACCTGTAATCCCAGCACTCAGGAAGCTGAGGCAGGAGGAGTGCTTCAAATTCAAGGCTGGCTGAGGCTAAAAAGTGAGTTCAAGGACAGCGTGAATTGCATAGTGAAACCTGTCTCAAGAAGACCAAAAAAAAAAAAAAAAAAAAAAAAAATCAAAAACCTCAAAGACCAGGTTTCTGGATGGAAGAATGGGGACTGCCTATTTTGGGGAAAAGACAACAGGGATCACCAGAAACATGAATCTCCTCCCATGAATGGACAGATCTTTGCTCCCATGTAATGAACAGGCAGATTAAGTCCCGGTCAGGTTCTATTTAATTTGTCCACACACAGGGACATGGCCACAATAGTGCTAGGGAGAGAGGGATGCTAACACCTTGATGCTTCTGGTAGGTATTAGGCTTGACTAAGTCATTAACCTTTTCCCACAGTGTAAGGCTGACAGCTGGACTGATCTAGGTACTGGCCTATCTGCATGATACAATGAACAAAAACCAAGCCCAAAAGCAGCCTTCCTACCCCAACAAAAAAGCCATCTACAGGTTCTGTCCAAGTGGATTCATGATCACACCTCAGCTATAAAAAAGCTGTAGGTCACCACTGCCCTCTGCTGGCCACTCAGGTACTAGCATCCACTCAGACACCAAGGCCATCACTGTCACTCCCGACATGGGCAAACATACCTTAATCTCTACCTGTAAGCACTTAGAGGTAACCCCAGCTAATTCTGAGCCAGGGCTGATTGTGTTACCCACACACTATGCCAGGGCATTTCTGTCCCCTAACCCCAAACATAAACCTTAAACTTTAAATCTGGCCTATGTTGCCTATAGGTGGAACGCACCCTTAAATGAAATGATTTCTGCCCTGTAACTTGTTAAAATGCACTAAGCCCCAAGCTCCCAGTTCCTTTGTCCTATACCCTCACCTTGTTTCCTCCAAAGGTGGGCTGAGCTGAGATGACCTGGAGCTATTTTTTTTTTATTTTTTTTTTGTCTTTTTCCTTTTTATCGGTACCAGGGATCGAACTCATGACTGCCTGCTTGTCTGGAGCTATCTTTCTTTTTTTTTTTTTGTCTTTTTCCTTTTTATCGGTACCAGGGATCAAACTCACGACGCACTTATGCCGCTGAGCTAAATCCCCAGCCCCCTTGGAGCTATCTTTCAAGAAGCCCAACTTTACTGGTGGGCCTACGAAACTCTTGGTTTTCATGGCTTCTTCTGTCACTATGCAACTAGTGATGAGAAAAAGTACCCCCTTAACCAAAGTTGGCTCCCCTCAGCTTTCTGCACATCCTGCAGATACACAAACACTGCCTTGCGTAGAGGAAGAAGAAACTGCCTACTGCCTAAACAGTATTGACTTCGAATGATGAGGGGAAGGCATGGGATCCCCTGGCAGATAGAAGTCTAGCTTTTCTTTCTCTTACCTCTGAGATGGAGTTGCCTCTGGAGCAAAAGTTAGACTGTATTTGTGGTCTGCCTAGAAACTTCCACAGCTACTTTATTTTCTATGGAGAAAGCAGGCAATTTGGGGAGGAGCTGGTCTTGAGGTCAACAAAAGTAAACCCTTCTGATTCCTTGTTCTCTAGAGGCCCACAATTTAGAAAATGTGACACTTTCTAGAATCCAAGATATGTAAGTTCTCAGAACAAAGTTCAAAAAGGAGTATCTTAGCCAAGTACAGTAGTGCAAGCCTGTCCACTCCAGCACTCTGGGAGGCCAAGGAGGAGGATTGCAAGTTCAAACAGCCTGAATAATTTAGGAAGCCCTTGTTTGAAAAAATAAAAAAGCCTAGGTATTCAGCTCAGTGAGGTCGGGATTTAGCTCAGTGGCATAAGCGCCTGCCTTGCAAGCAGGCAGTCGTGAGTTCGACCCCTGGTACCGATAAAAACGAAAAAGACCAAAAACAAAAACAAAAAACCAATTTGTACAAAATATACACCAAAGAATCTTGGGAACAAGTGGCTCAGGGCAAAGAGAGGCACACCTGGAAAACTTGCTGTTCCTGCCTAACATCCCCAGAAATTTAAAGCTGAACAAGTACATTCACCGAAGCTGTTGTAGCTCTTTCCTGCACACCCGGCTGGACATTTAGTGATGCTTCTTGTTTTTCCACAAGTGACACACCCAAAAAACAAAAACAAAAAAAGAGACAGAGATGGATCCTTAACCCTAATGACAATTTGCTATAGAGGTGATACTTATTTCTGATTATGTGTTCATAGGGCCCAGGGATGTAGCTCAGCAGCATAAGCACCTAATTAGCAAATGCAAGGTCATTCAATTTCCAGTACTCCCCCAAAGTACGTAAGTAAATAAACGAATGATGTGTTGATAATTCAGAAGATACAGGAACAGAAGAATGTTCTCCTGCTAAGACTTTCCCATTGGAGCTGATGCATGAGTATAATTCCCAGCACTCAAGAGAATCACTGTTGAGTTCAAGGTCAGCCTGTGAGATATAGCAAGGCCCTGTCTCAAAACGAACACCCCTACTCCCTCCCCTCCCCCCCACAAACTTTTCCTTTGGGTGTCAAGGGGTGCTACAGAACACACTTAAGACAAAACCAGAATTTCACCTTATTTTCACACGACAAAGGACAGTTAACAAACTGTAATTTTTTTTTTTTCTTTTTTCATTTTTACCGGTACCGGGGATCGAACTCACGACTGCCTGCTTGCAAGGCAGGCACTTATGCTGCTAAGCTAAATCCCCAGCCCCACTAACTGTAAGTTTGAAATAATCATTTGACAAGCTTCCTAAGGCTCAAAATAGAGCGATTCAGAAAGTGGCAGTTGGCAGTGGAAGGGTACTCTTCTATGGCTGGGTCAGGGAGAGCGCCCTTTTTTCACCACTGCGGCCTCTCTAGACATTCCTGCACCTTTTCACCTCCAGGGCCCTTCTAACTCTATCCTAGTTCAATTGTAGAAACTGGCAGGACAATGTTTCCCTTAACTACTGGCCAGTAACAGCATGCAGATATCTGAAATAAACTGGTTTTACAGGCTGGAGATATAGCTCGGCAGCATAGTGTCTGCTTGGAAAGGACAAGGTCCAGAGTTTGATTCCTGATTAACAAAACAAAACAAACTGATTTTACCAAAACAGATGGCTATTACACCTTAAATATTCCTATTAAGCAGACCAAAGGAAACCTCAATACTTTCCCTTATAATCACTGCCTTACCAAGATAATCAAGGCTGCTACAAAGTAGCTTATACGTATGACAAAGCCCAAAACAACTACAACACAATGTGATCCCTGGTATGAACTTCCTTGAGCAGGAAAAGTGGCCTCCCTGAGTCTTCTCTCTGGACAAGGGACATGTACACACACACTTCCTACTCCAATGGGCAAGACTGACCAAACTGCATTCAAGAACATGGTAATATTTGTGACCATCCAAAACTTTCATTTGACATCTGCACACACTTTTGTGGGGGCTGGGGATTTAGCTCAGCGGCATAAGCACCTGCCTTGCACACAGGCAGTCGTGGGTTTGATCCCCGGTACCGATAAAAAGGAAAAAAAACAAAAACATCTGCACATACTTTTATGTAGAAATAAAACAAAACAAAGCAACAACAAAAAACTATGAGCACTCCCATGGTGCCACATATCTATAATCCCAATACTCTGGAAGGCTGAGATAGGAGGACAGAAGTTTGAGCCTAGCCTGGAAAACTTTGTGAGATGCTGGCTCAAAATTTTAAAAACAGCATTCATGAGAGTAGCTAAGATTATGACCTAATAAGTAGTAACTGAAATGAAAAGCAAATAATGGGCTGTAGTATGGTTCAATAGTAGAATGTTTGCTTACCATTCACGAGGCCCTGGGTTCAGCATCTAGGACTGAATGTATCTTTGGGCAGGCTTTCAAAGCTGGGAGTGGTGGCTGATGTCTGTAACCCCAGCTATTTGGGAGGCTGAGACAAGAACATTTTGAACTCAAGCAGCCAGTAGTGGCCTGGGCCTACAATCCCAGCACTTGAGAGGCTGAGTGAGGCAGCAGGATTGCTGACAAGTTTGAGGCCAGCCTGGACTAACACAGCAAGACCCTGTCTCAAAACAAACAAACAAACAAACAAATATTCTAGCTCAGGGTCAACTGACCAACACAGTGAGAATCCATCTCAAAAGCAAACAATTTCTACCTGCCCAGGATACTGAAAATGCAGGGTGATTTTAGGTTAGAGTTTAATCCTAACTCCATTCCCTACAACTGTTTTTTTGTTGTCTTGTTTTGAGACAAAGTTTCACTATGCAATTGAGGCTGGCCTTGAACCCTATAGCCCAGGGTGGCCTCCAACTCACAATATTCCTCCTTCGTCAGCAGCCGAGTGCTGGACATAAAAGTCAGTATGCCTGGCTACTCCCTGCAATCATAACCATTTGACAGTGAAACCTTTTCTTCAAGGTCAAAGACCATAAGAAACATCCTCAAAATGCTTACAAATAGCCAGTAGCTAAAAAAATGCACAACTGGAAAAAGCATTTGGGTTATATCACAGTAGTGTGAGATGGAGAAGCAGTGACACTGAGAGATGAGACAAGGTGGACAAGTTTAAATCCAAAAGCAACGGACATTTATTCCTCAGTTTTTGTGCAAGAGTGTAAAGATGCATTTTAAAGAACCTGATGGCTAGAGAGCATCGGCCATGGCCTTCAGGCTGGCCTGGTTTACAGTTAGATTTGGAAAAGGAAAAATGTAACTTGCCTAGTTCACATGAATGATGTTTCTGGCAAACACAGTTGTTTACAAGTTTCAAACTACATTTTACTATAGTCAAGGGAAGACTTCAAAAAGCCACATACAATACAATTTAAAACTGGATGAACATCCTTCTAAATGTTAGTGCAAAGTAATTATGCAGACTCTCCAATACAAGATTGTGCTCATGTTTCCCAGGTCTGGTCAAGTTGCACTTCTATAATTACAATCACAGAGGCTTAACTTACCGAACAGCAATGCCTTTGTGTTTTTATCTCTTACGCACCAAGGGAATGTCACAAGATTTTGGTGAAATGCAGCTTAGATTCATTAATAAATCAAATTTCTTAGTTAACAGTCATGTTCCCAAAATGCTGCACATATACATTTCATGAAAATGCTTTCAAGTTTGTGTCATAGTTCAATAAAATTACTCAAGGTTTTTGTTTTTTTTGTTTTTTTTTTTACTATGTAAACTGGAATTGTTTCATGATTTTGAAATGTAACCAGTATAATAAATGAAAACATTTTAGGAGTGGGGGGAAATCCACCACTAATCTCAGCTAGACAAAGTTCTTAAAATCAAAAAGCCTATTCACACAAAATTAAATGTAATGACTGTAGTAATCAGTTTATTACACAGATTAATCATTCTTGAACGTACCAGCTCCAGAGGAGCAATTGGGTCTTTAAATATACACAAGTATTTCCATCAAATGAATTTCACCCTTACATCCAAAGAGACCTAAGCAGTTAAAAACATAAGAAAAATAAGAGCTATTAGCTATGTATTAACTGAGAAACCTCGTACAAACCAAAGAATATGGAGAGAAAGGGGCTAAAAGGACAAAAGTTCAAGGGGCAGAGAGATGTAAAGAGTTGGGAACAAAGCCCATCACACTTTATGTGCTAATAGCTCCAATCCATTTAAATGTTGACCAGTTAAACTTAGACCTTCAAAATACAGGATGTGGGTAGAATTTAATCTGGTTGGTCGTAACTTTCAGCTAAATTGTAGGTCCTTCGGAATAAATGAATACAGAAACAGCTTCATGTTCTTCACTTTGCTTTTCATAACTGTTTGGAGTTTAAACAGATTCCACTTAAAAACATCTCCTACAAGTCAGTGGAGCTTCTCCCCACCCAAGCACACACATGTACCCACCACCCCTCACACCTTGCTGTTATCCAAATTTAAGTCAATATGGAAAGCTTTTTAGTCTCATATCTAGGTTATGTCTGAAGAACTGGCTTGTCACACATACACTTCTCTGCTAGGAGGCAATGTTGGTACAGAAGTACAGTATTTCTAGTTTGTTGTTTCCAAGTATGTACAACACGCAGCACTGCTGTATCAGGTAAACATGTGCACAGGGGAAGATGAGGCGTGGGCTCATAGAAAGCAGTCAAATGGAAATCAAAAGGACTTTCTCTTTCAGAGTTCCCCTATCTTTATTTGTAGAGGTTTTCCAATAATTTCTTTAATTACATCGCATACTTCTGAGTCCATTCTCGAGCTATTCTGTTGTACCTGTACACATAAAGAGAAGCCTGGTTTAACACAGTGATGAGTCAGTTAGTAAGCAACAGATTTCATTCATTACCCCACCCAGTAACTTGAGGGGGAATAACCTAGGACAATGAAGTAAATCACCTAGAAATAATTTCTTATTTCTGCCCCCCCACCCTCCTTTTTTTTTGTTTTTCTAAGACAAGCTCTTATTATGTAGTTCAGGCTGACCTCAAACTTGCAGCAACATTCCTGGCCTCAGCCTCCCCAAGCATCAGATTTCTAACTCAAATTCTATTTTTTTTTTTTTAATCAGTACCAGGGATCGAACTCAGGACTGCCTGCTTGCAAGGCAGGTGCTTATGCCTCTGAGCTAAATCCCCAGCCCCCTAACTCAAATTCTTAATAAGCTTTTTTTTGTAAAATGCAAAACTTTCCTATAAATGCAATTTATAGAGGACTGTGACTTTTTTTTTTTTTGAGGACTCATTAAATCTTAGTACTTCCTGATATATTTGATTAACCTGTTTCTTTTTTTTCTTGGTTGAGACAGGCTGGTCTTGAACTCATGCAAATCCTCTTGCCTCAGCCTCCCGAGTGCTAGGGATTACAGGCATGCACCACCATGCCCAGCTTGATTAACATATTTCTTAAAAATACCCTAAATTCTCTTTAAAGGCTGTAAATCTTTTTTTTTTTTTTTTTTTTTTTTGGTACTGGGGATTGAACTCATGACCTTACATTTACCAGGCAGGCACTTAAGCCACTGAGCTAAATCCCCAGCCCCTAAAGGCTGCAAATCTAAGGTCAGCCTGGGTTACACAGCGAGATTCTGTCTTGAAAAAGTTTATGATGGAGCAAGGAATGTATATCAGTGGTAGAGTTTGTCTGTCTTTTTGAGACAGAGGCTCACTATACAGTTCAAGCTGGCCTTGAACTCAGGCAATCCTCCTGCTTTAGCCTCCAAATTCTGGAATTACAGGCATGTACCACCACACCTGGCTGAATGGTAGAGTTCCTGCTTTGCATGCACAAAAAGAAAAAAAGTGTATGTATCTTTATCTCTTTTTTGGTACCAGGGATCAAACTCATGACCTTGTGCTTGCTAGGTTGGTACGGTATCACTGAGTTATATCCCCAATACATGTTTTCTATATATAATGATTACATTCATTATGGGGAAGTTAGTACATGCACAGCAGAAAACATATCTTAATGTCCTCTCCCTCTCATCTCTAATTCTCCTTCTCACTTCCAAAGGCTCTACTTCTCTATTTCATATTCTTCCCCGCCCCCCTTGAGCCAAGGTCTCTTTGTGCAGTTCAGTTCAGGTTGTCCTTGAACTCACTATGTAGCCTAAGCTGGCCTTGGACTCTCATGACCCTGCCTCAGTCTCCTGAATGTTGGAGTTACAGGTGTGCTGCCCTACACAGTTTATCTGCAGTTCTCAAAAGCATATACTAATAGTGACTAAGCAGGTAGAATATTTTGCTTTATCTCAATAAGGCAACAAGTTTTGGAAGAACTCTCAAAATTTGCTTGAAAAAATGAATGGATTCACTGCTCTAAAAGAACAATGCAGTAAACTAAACAGAGCAAAAAGTTATGTATTTCTTCTGTCAAAAAAAGTGGGAAGGGCTGAGCATGGTGGCAGGTGCCTGCAGCACCAAAGAGACTGAGGCAGAAGGATCACTTGAACCCAGGAGTTTGAGATAACCTGAGCAATATAGCAAGAAAGGCCATGTCTCAAAAAACAACAACAACAAAAACATCACACATATATACCAAAAAAATAAAAACAAAAAGCTCCCCACAGTAACAAAAATTACAAAACAGACATTACAAAAATTACAAAACAGACAAAATTACAAAAAAAAAAAAAAATCAAAACCAAAACAAATAAACAAACAGGAATGCAGAAAGGTTCTACTGTGCCAGGTGTGGTGACTGAATCAAGAGGGTTTCAGTGAGTTTGAGGCCAGCATGGACTACATAGCAAGTGAGATCCTAACTGGGGGTGGGGATAGGAGTGGTGGTTCTAGATAGAGTCATACCCCATTTCCTTTCCTTGGGGGAGTATATTAACATTTAATATTAAGTAACTGGCCCATAGGCAGCCTTTAGATTTAAAACAAACATCTCTATCCCACCAGACACCTTGTCATCTAGAGCCCATACTTACTTTTCTCTATCTGTTTTGTAGATCCGAGCAATCTCAGGCACTAAAGGATCATCTGGATTGGGATCACACAACAGAGAACAGATGGACAAGAGTACTAGGATAAAAAAATGTGTAAGTTAGTAAAGGATAAAAAACGAAAGTTGACAGAAATATGCAATGGCAACACATGAGAAAATTCTAAGAACCTACTGAGAGCTGGGGTATAGCACTTGCCTAGCCAGCACGATAACCTGGACTGATCCTAGTGTGGGGGAAAGAGTTTATTTATACAGTAGTGCCTAGTAATAGTAATCACTAGAGATTTGGAGGCGCTCAAACAAGCTGGACCTGTAATACCAGTATTAGGAAGGCTGAAAAGCAAGAGAACTGCTGTTGAGTTCGAAGCCAGCCTGGACTACCTACCCACTGGAAAACTGTCTCAAAAAACAAAACAAAACAAAACAAAACCCTCAAACAGATTTCATATTTAGCCAATAAAAAATTAAAATGAAAACAAATAGCAGAAAGTTAATGCTGAAAGTCATTTTAGTTTCCAAGATAAGAATCCATCTCTTTGCGCAAAGTTTCACAAATTATGCTATGTGTACCACTGGCTCTCTATGCCTGAACTCCTAAAGAACTTAGCCCAGAGAAGTTAACTGATTTGTTCACTCGGCCTGGAACAGGAATTAGAAAACAGAATAAAATTTTAAAACCCTCATCTTGTACTGGAGGTACAGGTCAGTGGTAGAGTGCTTGCCTAGGATACACAAAGCCCTAGGTTCAATCCCCCCACACCACAAAAAAACAAAACAAAACAAAACAAACAACCCCCCCCCCAACCCACTAGACTTCCAAGTCTTAGACCAAGAATACTCTCCCGGTAGGTTTAGGAAGGGATTTTTTTTTTTTTTTTTAAATCGGTACCAGGGATCAAACTCATGACTGCCTGCTTGCAAGGCAGGTGCTTATGCTGCTGAGCTAAATCCCCAGCCCCTAAGACCAAGAATACTAATCAGAGTCTGTAAAACTCAATTGTTAGAAGCCCAAATTGAGGGGAAAATGCTTTTCAAAATTCCACACACAACCATCACTAATGACTACTTAGCTGGGGCAAACGACAATCTTGAGACCTAATGAACACCGTTTTCTCTGGGGCAGGTAGCAGTGTTTCAAGATACAATGGATGTGATTCATTTTTGGGTTAAAAGAATCCAAATCAAGAGTATAAAGGCCAATGCTTGCCTCTGTAGGGCAATGGCCAGAGACTCAGTAATAGCATGCAACACACTACTACCAAGTTCTCAAAGTCTTTTCAGGGCTGGGGATGTTGTAGCTCAGGTGCACAGTGCCTGCCTGTTATCAAAACACAGTCTTTTCAGTGATGATTTAGATCTCACTTCCTCAATGATAACCTGATACGTAGCAGAGAAATCTCAACAGTATAATTTCCTCTGTTCAAATCTGTCATTAATATTCTTCACTGAACTTAAAAGTGGCGATTGAGGTCACTATATTAAGTTCAAGAGACTCTGACGTAATGAAATAAACTGAAAACTTTTTATTGTGATGCTAACAGAACTCAGCTCATGTATGTTCTGAACCAAGAGGTAAAGACTTTTGAGTTCTCTATCCTACGAAACCATCAAATTCAAGAGGAAAAGATTTACTTATTTTCCTATCAAATCTATTCTACAAAGACCAAGGACTTGGGGGCTAGAGATTTAGCTCAGCGGCATAAGTGCCTGCCTTGCAAGCAGGCAGTCGTGAGTTCAATCCCCGGTACTGATAAAAAGGAAAGACAAAAAAGAAAAAAAAAAAAGACCAAGGACTTCTGAGAGATGAATAAAAAGCTGACATGTCCTATTATCACTCAAGTTTGACAACCAAATAAGCTATTTTCTTGCCTTCTAAGTATACAGGGAGGCGGAAGGGGAATGCAACAATAAAGATGTTCTCTGACTCTTCCTTTCAATTTTTTTTATCGGTACCAGGGATTGAACTCATGACTGCCTGCTTGCAAGGCAGGTGCTTACACCGCTGAGCTAAATCCCAGCCCCTCTTCCTTCATTCTTATTGCCCACAGTTCTGGCAGATGACATTCCCAAACATCTTTTCTTCCTATTGTCAGGTGTCACCACCTGATGTCCTCTTCAATATCAGAAGAACATTGTAACAGTAATAAGAAAAGATCTCTTATTTCTTGGAAATGGTAACAAAGAGTAACAGATTTCTGAATGCCCATGAAATGCTGACTGTAGAAAGAAGAAACCCTGACCCTATGAATCTGACAATACAAGTCATCTGAAATTAGAAATACTGCCACAATTGTATCACAAATTCCCTTTACTTATTTTTATAATAAAGCAGCTTTAGTCAGGTGTGGTGGTACATGCCTATAATCCCAATAGTTAGGAGGCAAGGGAAGGAGCATTGTTTCAAATTCAAGACAGATTGGACTACACGATTAGAGTTCAAGAACAGCCAGAATAGTGAGGCCTTGTCTCAAAAATTAAAACAAACGAACAAACAAACAAACAACAAGAAAAAAGAAAACCAAACAATACCCCATAAAATTAAAAGCATAAATTTATCTAAGGGTGGTGTGGTGGTGCACATCTGAGGCAAAAGGTGCTCAAGCCAATCAAGCCCAGGCCAGACAACTTGGTAAGACCCTGTTTCAATATAAAAGTGCTCTACTACAAAGCTACATCCCAGTTCAAAGTTAAATTTTAAAGAAACAGCTTTTCTAGGAAAGGAAAGTGGGCTAGTGATTTTTTTTAGATTTGGCGAAAGGATTCTTTGAATTTCCCAACTCAAGGTGTTGGCTTATTATGCATTATACATTCTGTCTCTGTAAATGGAATTAAGTTTTATTTCTACAACCTGAATAGACTCTGCACTTGAATAGTTTTACCCATATACATTCCCCATCAGTTTATATTTATTTTCTTTCTTGTTTTTCTTGGGTATTAGGAATCAGACTCAGGACCTTACACTTGCTAGTATTTTTTTTTTTTTTGTCTTTTTCATTTTTATCAGTACCGGGGATCGAACTCACGACCGCCTGCTTGCAAGACAGGTGCTTATGCCGCCGAGCTAAATCCCCAGCCCCTGCAAGTATATTCTTTTTTTTTTTTTGCTTTGCTTTTTATCGGTACCAGGGATGGAACTCATGACTGCCTGCTTGTAAAGCAGGCGCTTATGCCACTGAGCTAAATCCCCAGCCCCTTGCAAGTATATTCTTTAAAAAAAAAAAAAAAAAAAAAAAAAAAAGTATTTATTTTCTTTAATATCGTAACTGATAAGCCTCTTTCTTTCTTTCTTTTTTTAGTACCAGGAATTGAACTTAGGACCTTGCACTTGCAGGGCAGGCACTGTGCCATTGAGCTGTATCCCAGCCCCATCACTTTCAATTTTAAAAATACATAGTTGAGTGTTTTTATAGTACAATTATTTGCTTTAAGTTTTCTAAAGGTCCCTAAACACATACCTTCAATGTAGGTGGAATTCAGTGGTAGAGCACATGCTTAGGATGCACAATGCCCTGGGTTCAATCCATATCGTCAAAAAGGAGGAAAGAAAAGATGAAGCCAGGCACAGAGGACTTCAAGTTGGAGAACAGCCTAAGTAACCTAGCAAGACCCCTTCTCAAGGGGGTCTGGGATATATCTCAGTAGCACAGCACTTGTCTAGTCTGTGGGAATCTCAGGGTTCAATTAATGAGGAAGGGGGGATTTAGACAAAAATTACTGCCCTTGAAAACAGACTGTATGTGGAAGGATAATTAACATTACACAGAGAAATAAGGCAACTCTAGGCATGAGAAAAGGTAAGAAAATGAGATGGCAACAGCTTCAGCTGTCTAGTACACCCCCGTAGACAATTACATAATTTTAGCTCTACTGGTCCCATCAGATTTACATCTCTATTGACACTTGGGGAATGAAGAGAAACCAACACACCCCGCCACTAGACCAGGTGATAAAATGACCAGGTTATGTACACTTTCTTAAACAGTGTCTGAAAAGGGGCCCTCTAAAAGAAAAAGGGTCACTTCTTTGGAAAAACTATTTTTGTTCACAACTTTGTAAAATATGTTCCTTGACTAGGAGTGGAGATGTGTATGTGTGTAATTCCAGCACTCAGGAAAGTCAAGACAGGAAAATGAATCAGATTTCAAGGCCAGCTTGGATGAGAGAGAAGAACATGCCTCAATAAACAAAAACAAACCAAAATTACACAAAAAAAGTTCTCGGGTTTTTTGTTATTTTTGACTAACAGTTCAGAATTTTTATTTTTCGAGACAGGGTCTTGTTATATAGTTCACACTGGCTCTGACCTCATGACAATCCTCCTGTGTTATTGCTGAGATTACAAGTGTGGGCTACCACATTGGGCCAGAAATTTTAACTTAATGCTGTGTAGCTGTTTGTTTTTCTGAGATGGAGTCTTGCTATGTAGTTTTGTAGTTCAGGGTGGCCTCAAACTTGGGGCAATCCTCCTGCCTCAGCCTCATGAGTGCTGGGATCACAGGCATGTGCCACCACAACAGTGTGGTAGGATACACCTATAATTCCAGCACTAAAAGGCTGAGGTAGGAGGACTGCCCTGTGAGTTTGAGACCACCCTACATAGTGAGTTCAAGGCCAGCCTAGACTATATAGTGAAACTGTCTCAAAGAAAAACAAAAATCAAACAACAAACAAAATGAATCTTAGGGCCAGGGATTTAACTCAGCAGGCACAAGTACATGTCTGGCAGACATGAAGTTGAGTTCGACACCCCCACCCATTCAACAGTATACAAGTCTTCTCATTTAACTTACAAGACAACAACTGTCCAACACTTTTGACAACTGTACCTTTATCTGATTTATTAAAATACTTATAAGGAGCCCATTAACTGAACTTTTGTTTCTTTTATCTTCAGAGTAACAATATTTATTATCATCCCTATTTTTTTTTTTTTTTTTGGTCTTTTTCTTTTTTATCGGTACCGAGGATCGAACTCATGACCACACACTTGCTATCATCCCTATTCTACAGGAAAAAACCTAAAGAATTCAGAAGCTGGGGCTGGGGATTTAGCTCAGCAGTATAAGCACCTGCCTTGCAAGCAGGCGGTCGTGAGTTTGATCCCTGGTACCGGTAAAAACGAAAAAGACCAAAAAAAAAAAAAAAAAAAAAAAAAAAAGAATTCAGAAGCTAATATGTCTGATGTCTCATTAAATAACACCTCAGACCATGTTGCTTCTTTTCTGAATATATTCACTAAACAAGACAAACAGTTGGGAATAGCTAGAAAAGTATTTTCTTTATGTCAAAATTCACTATCCTAGCCAGGTATAGTGGCACATGCCTCTAATCCCAGCACTCAGGGACTAAGGTAGGAGACTGCCAAAAGTTTAAGGCCAGCCTAAACTACAAAGTGAGACTCTGACCAAACAAACAAACAACAGAATTCATTATGCAACTATCAAAACTCACCTTTTGTCTATTTCTACCCATTTAACATACTTTTCTATGTAATTCACTTACAATATACACAATTTTATTTCTCTTTTCTCATGATATTTCTCCATATTAGCTGTATGAATACTCTTAAATGCATGGACAAAAACTGTTTTTATCTACCTCTACTCTAGTTTTTTGTTTTTTTTTTTTCTTTTTGAGCCAGTCTTGCTGTGTAGTCCAGGTTGGCCTTTAACTTGTGGCGATCCTCCTGCCTCAGTCTTCCGAGTGCAGGGATTATAGATGTCACACCAGTCAGAAAGGTTGTACAAATTACAAATCAACGTGTAAGACAATGCTCATTTAAGTAATTGTTTCCTACATATGTGTATCTGTGTGTGCTTCTCATGTTTTATTTTGATGTAAGATTGTGCTAAGTTGCCCAGGATGGCCTCACACTTGTGATCTTCCTGCCTCACCCTCCCAAGCAGCTGGGGTTTAGGCAAGTACAACGTCTGGCTTCTATTTTTTAGTCTTAAAAAGACATTCATACCAAATGCCTACCTTCCTGCTTGTTCTTGAGTAGCACAGTAAACTATTCACCACACCAAAGAATACCCATGCTTGAAAATCCAACTCTTTCCAGTTGTCCCAGGTCTATTTCAGATTTAAGAGAGATTGCTAAAAAAAAAACAAAGGTCTATTTCACACTATGAGAAATTTTTTCCTATTAAAAGGAACACAGGTGTGGTGATCCATGCCTGTGAGTCCAGCACTCTGGGAGGCTGAGAAAGGGCAGTTGAAACTTTGAGCCCAGCCTGGTCAACTTAGTGACTTAGCAAGATTCTGTCTCAAAATAAAAGGGCACAAAATGTAACTAACTCAGTGTGATGACCTTAGTTCAACCCCCAGTAAAACAAAACAAAACAACCTTAAAAGACAAAGCCATAGTTTCATATCAAATACCTAATTACCTTTTGAAATAGTTAGTGCTGGAGACCACTGTGACCGAAGAATATCAAGACAAATGCTGCCATTACTGTTAATATTTGGATGATAAATTCTTGTTGTAAATGCAACCTACAAGAAAAGAAAAACCTTTTGTAAATTGGCTTATTGGTATCACAAAGCATATTTAAAACAATTGTCATATTCTAATTACCTTAGGTGGTTTGAAGGGATAATCTGTTGGGAAATGAATTGTCAAGAAAAATACTCCACCCTGATAGGGACTATCATTCTGTCAATGATAAAAAAAAAAGGATTAAAATGAGTGAATAACATAAACTATTAATTCTAAAATTAACTTGAATACTTACTGGCCCCATTATTGTAGCTTGCCAATGGAACACTAAAAAAAAAAAAAAGACACACAAAAAAATCAGTTACTCACATTGTTCCTACACCTCTGTCTAGTTAAGTTCATTCATAAACAGCATGATATTTTGTCTACAGAGAGAAAAATGGCTAGAAAGACCTAAAACACTGATAAGGTTTAAATTTAAAGTACAAAGAGCAAGCCACAGTGTGCTCACCTTTAATGCCAGCACCTGGGAGGCCAAGGCAGAGGGGTCACCATGAGTTTGAGGTCAACCTGGACTACACAGTGAGTTCAAGTCTAGCTTGAACTACATAGAGACCTTGTCTTAAAAAAAAAAAAAAACCCAAAACAAACAACATACTAGGATTTGGGTTGGGTGATGTGTACCTATAATCCCTGCACACTGAGATATTGAGGTACTAATACAAATTCAAATCCCTAGCCTGGGCAACTTATTGACCAAGCAAGACCTGTCTCAAAAAGACTGTAGTTTCAAGGGGGCTGGGGGACAGGGTGTGGTCCACAGTGGTGCAGAGCTGAGCAAACTAAGAAAACCTGTCACTAGAATTGTATCCCAAACCAGCCAACTCTTGATGCAAACAGAAATATGAAAACTAAGAAGTCATGTGAAAATCCAATGGGACATCAGTCCAAGTCATAAAGGTACTTCAGAACTTCCTTAATATTGCTCAGGCTAGCCTTGCACTTGTGGTTTCCCTGCTTCAGTCTCCCTAAGTGCTATGATTACAGGTAGGCTTGTATGATCATGCCAGGCAAAGAAAATCATTCCGAAAGACTGGTCCTTCAATCGTAATAACAGCCCTCTAAAATGCTTTTAATGGTCTTGCTTAAGGAAGCAGTCTTCCTCTAGTTTTGGCACAAATAGGTATTTATTTAATAAAATAGAAAATACACAACTAGAATTAATAACTGTCAGGAGGCTAAAAACATTATTAAACAAAAGGACAATCTACCAGGCAATAGACCTGTTTTACTTAATCCTTTTATATAACTTAAATCAATGGCTAAAATTGGAAGGATATTAATTATACTGCAATCCTACTCAGGATCCTAGGTATTAGATAAGAGAATAAAACAGAAAACATTCAAGTCATAAAAATACAGAAATATTTAGTTTTAAAAATTAGATTTTCCAGGGGCTGGGGATTTAGCTCAGCGGCATAAGCACCCGCCTTGCAAGCAGGCGGTCCTGAGTTTGATCCTGGTACCGATTAAAAAAAAAAAAAAAAATTAGATTTTCCATTAACCATTTAAGTACTTAATCTTTCTAGCCTTCTCAAAATCAATGCTTTTTTTTCCCCCTTGAAAACAGAGTCTCCCTATGTAGTACAAACTGTCTTGAACTCACTATGTAATCCAAACTGATCTTAAATCTGTGGCAATCCTCTTGCCACAGCCTCCTGAGTCCTGGGATTGTAGGTGTGTACCACCATACCTGGCTCCTTTTCAATTCTTTTATAAATACTATCAGATTTATGTAATTTTTAAGAAAATCTACCCAGGTATGGTAAAATAGGCCAGTGTCTGAGATAGGACAGTTACAAATTTGAGGCCATTCTGGGGAATTTAGCAAGACTGTATCTCAAAACAAACAAAAAACAATGTGAATGTGAGTGTGTGTGTGTGTGTGTGTGTGTGTGTGTGTGTGTGCGCGCGCGCGCGCGCGTGCCCATAACACTGGATACTGCTCTGTGGAGGAGTATTGGCCTAACATGGGTTGAGGCCAGTATTCAACCCACAGTACCCCCACCCCTAAATCTGAACAAGTTCTTTTCTTTGCTTTTTTTGAGGAAGGGTTTCATCATATGGTTCCGGCTGGCACTGAACTCACTTTGTAGCCCAGGATGACCTCAAACTTGCAGTGATCCTGCCTCAGCCTCCTGAGTGCTGTGAGTAGTATGCCACTGCACTCAGCTGTCTGAGCAAGTTCTTAGGTAATGGTAAAAGACTTTTTTGACTTCCTACTCTTCTTAATGGCAAACAAAGAATATTTTATGCTCTAGGATCAAAACCTATCAAAACTATCATAATGTACCTATGGGACAATACAGAATCCCCAAAGTCTTAAAACAGAAATGCTGACAAGCTGGCAACCAGAACATTTACAATTACAGAAAGGATATTCTTTTTCCTGATAAAAGTGAGGAAAGATCAATCTTTCTTCCTTTTTTTTTTTGGAGTCAGAGTCTCACTTTGTAATTGAGGCTGGCTATGAACTTATAATGTAGCCCAGGTTGGCCTTAAACTCTCAGCGATCCTGACTCAGCCTCCCAAATCCTGGGATTTACAGGGGTGTGCTATCTCACCTGGCTTTCCAGTGTATTTTATTGTATTGAGAATGAACTCTTACATCAATACTGGTAAATTAATTAATTTGTAATTCGTATCCATTAGTTTGTAAATCATTTTTGTAATTACCAACAGAATTTTATAAACCAATAGGATTTACCATGACATTTCTCTATACGCATATATGGTACCCTGATCATATCTCTTTAATATTACAACTAGACATATTTCCCTGGCATGAAGGTGTGGTGGCACACAGCTGTAATTCCAGCACTTGGGAGGCTGTTGCAGGAGGATTGTAGTGAGTTTGAGGCCAGCCTAGCCTGCACAGGAAGGCTTGAAAGAACTACATAGCAAGATCTTGTCTCAAAAAACAAACAACCTCCCCCAATCATGAGCATCAAAGCTCTACGTAAGATCCACTCACATTCAAATGATAGCATTTTGTCCTCATTGTTAAGCAAATACAGAGGGTTGTATTTAAAACAGGAGGAAAATAAAGTGCTAACATAGCAACTGAGACTTCTCATAAAAATGACCCAAAATACACAAAATCAACAAAAGGTAGCAAAAGACAAACTCAAATTCAATATACGAATTACAGTACTTGAAGACCTACAGTTTAAATCTTATATGAGCTGGGATTATGAGTGGTAGAGCCAAAACTTAGCGTTTTTAGGTTCTGGATATAATGATCAGCACCAAAGAAATGAATACATACATCTGAAGTACTTAGCCACACTGTTGAATATAATAATACTAAATGGAATTACTGTCAGATCTCCCTGGAACCCTGCTAGACTCCTAGCTCTCTTAAGTGGAAATACTGGAAGGAGAGGCAGGTGTGGTGATAAAACTCCATTCTGTAATCTCGAAACTTTGAGAAGATGAGGCAGAAGAATCCCAAAATCCAGCACTCCTGGGCACTTTAGCAAGACTGTCTTTGAAAAAAAAAAATCCCCAGCATGAGAGGAGGGGAGAGGAGGGCAAGGCAGGGCAGGGCAGGGCAGGGCAGAACAAAAAACAAAACAAAATAAAACAAAACAGCAGAACAGAGCAAAGCAGAACACAACAAAACAGAACACAACAGAGGAGGAGACAAGAGTATCTAACTTGTATCAAATCACAATGGTTTTGTAAATTGTTTGAGAATCACTAAGGGTCTAAGGGTTCCAAGTGCAAAAAGGTTTTTTTTTTTTTTTTGGGGGGGGGGTACAGGGATCAAACTCACTACCTTGGGCGAGGGGTTTAGCTCAGGGCACAAGCACCTGCTTGGCAAGGTTGTAAGTTTATCTCAGGTACCAAAACAAACAAACACTGAGCTCACAACTTCAGGCTTGCCAGGCAGGCACTTAGGCAGCTGAGCTAAATCCCCGGCACTAAGGGTTTCAAATAAAAAGAACTCCAGAAATAGTTACTGAATAAATACTTGTCCACTTCATAAGCATAATATACTGCTGCATTTACATGATCATTTACGTTTTTAAAAAACCTTTTATTTTATCTAAGGATTAACATTATATGTTGAAAACAAAAATACACACTTCCCCCCCGCCAAATCAAAACCAGGTTTTTCCCCTAAGGCATTGTACATGCTAGACAAGTAACCTATCAATAAACTATGGCTTTCGGTCCCCAAAACAATTTTGATAGTAAAAAAACAAAAACCAAACTAAACTCCCACTACTACTTTGGTTTGATGCTGTCAACATGAACTGAAAGCTACAACCAGTTATATGTGCATGTAAATATCAAGTTCTGAGCTCAGTAATTACTCTCTGGTGTTGTGAATAGTTTTGAGATTAAAAGGGGTAGTGAGAATACATGTTTTGAGACTAAATCCCTGAAGACCTACACTTGAATGTATGGGTCTCAACAGTCATTTCTCTAGATGTTCAAAGCAGAAGAAAATGAAACAGGTTATATGACCAATAATAAACCTTCAGCTTACTTCTGATTTAATGTATGCTAAAATGTGAGTACAGTACCTTAAAATAAAGCAGCCATCTCCACCTTATTCTTACACTAAATATCAATAATGTGGTACGCTAAGGGATTTAAGTGCTAGGCAGTCTAAACGATTTTTTTTTTTTTTTTTTAAAGCCAGTCAAATTTAGCAGTGGGGGCAGTCTAAAGGATCTTAAAAGCTTGTTTTGGCTGAAGTTTCTTTCTCCTCATGAGATTAAATTCTGACAGTTTGTAACAAAACAAGTGAGATAATAAAAACGTATTCAGCTATCCATTTATACTTTTTATGTCCTTATGTGATCCACCAGGAAGACATGACCAAGTACTTCAAACTGGCCTTGAACTCAAGGTGATCTTAGCCCCCTAGAGAGAGTGCCAGGATCACAGGAATGTCACCATGCCCAGGTGAAATTTCTCAAAATGTAGAATGACTGATGATCTTTTTAAACTTTTTCAGAGACAGAATCTTACTATGCAGTACAGGCTGGTTTTGACCTCTCGAAATTTTCCTGCCTTGGCCTCCTGAGTGCTAAGATTACAGATGGCACTACCATGCCTGGTTTGGATGATCTTTAAAAACAGTCTGGGAATTAAATTTCATTTTTAAAATTTTCTTTAGCTTGCCAAGATAATTTGTCTTTGCTACTACTACTGTTTATACTATTATATGCCTTTTTCAAATCAAAAAAATTAATATTCTAAAAAGTATTTCCCCCAAAGCATAAATAGTAACAAAAAAATATAAAGCAGTCTTCATCAAAATTTAAAGCTAGCTAGGTTTGGTGGCACACACATGTAAAGGCAGCAACAGGAAAATTAAGGCAGGCAAAACACTGTGTTTGAGGGGCTGGGGATTTAGCTCAGCGGCATAAGCACCTGCCTTGCAAGCAGGTGGTCTTGAGTTCGATTCCCAGTACCGATTAAAAAGGAAAAAGACAAAAAAAAAAAAAAAAAAAAAAACACTGTGTTTGAGGACAGCCTGGCCTACACAGGTAGTTCAAGGCCAGTCTTAACTACATAGTGAAATCCTGTCTCAAAAAACAAAAATAGAAGAACTAGACACACTAAATGATTCTTACAATATGTTAAGTATTTTATTTCTTTATTTACTTTTTGAGACAGGGCCTTCCTATGTAGCTCAGGCTGGCCTTGACTTCACTATATAGCCCAGGTGGACCTTGAACTCAAACTCATGGCAATTCTCCTGTATGAATCTCCTGAGTGCTGAGATTACAGGCATGCACCACCACACCTGGAAGTGTCAATTATTTTGTATCTGGGGAATACTAGAAAGGATAAAGGATAGGTACAAAGAAACCAGAACTACAAAGATAATACCTATCAGAAGAGGTTCCAAATGTGACGATGTACGCAGATGAGTGGAGGCACATATAGTGCCTCTCATAATAAACTGACCCCTTCCTGTAGCAAATTATCTTTCCACACAATATAACCTGAGATACAGTCATCTGTTCAGAGGTTCCCACAGATACGTAGTGTTATGCAGTTTACATTACAACTTCATTTAAATACTTACTATCATCTCCAACAGGACCTGCTGAACACTGTGCTGGTGGGTCCCGTGCCAGATCATTCAATTCCTTAAGAAAAAACACAGAAACTTATTCAATATAAATGTAACTTTACACTGTTACTAAATTTACATTTTTCCCAACAGTCTTTGCCATACTGACTGGTAAAAGTTCTTTTTTTTTACCCACTACCGGGGATCAAACTTGTGACCTCCTGCTTGCCGGGCAGGTGGTTATGCGTCTAAGCATGCTGAGCCAGACAGTTACCAGTTCTTTTAGTATCATTCTTTCAAAATCAAAAGAGTAAATGATAAATCTTTTTGTCTGTTTTTTTAAGACAGTCTTGCTGTGCAGTTCAGGCTGGCCTTGAGCTTGCAAGATCCTCCTGCCTCAGCCTCCCAAGTGCTAGGATCACAGGCATGCACTACCATGCCTGGCTTTTCTTTTTTTTATGTAGGGGATCAAACTCAGGGCCACATGCATGCTAGGCAAAAGCCTTTGTTTTTCTTTTGCAGTACTAAACCCAGGGCCTGGAATGATTTATTTTTAAAATAAAAACAAACTCAGGGCTGGGGATTTAGCTCAGCGGCATAAGTGCCTGCCTTGCAAGCAGGCAGTCGTGAGTTCGATCCCTGGTACCAATAAAAAGAAAAAAAAATAAAAAAATAAAAATTAAAAAAATAAAAATAAAAAACAAACTCTAAGAAGCTAAGTGTGGTGGTACATGCCTGTGACCCAACACTGTAGGAGGATAAGGCAGGAGATCACAGGCTTCAGCCCAGCTTGAGCAACTCAGTAACTTACTGGAACCCTACCTCAAAATAAAAATAATTTTTTTTTTGGTGCTGGGAATTGAACTCACAACCTCACGCTTGCCAGGCCAAGTGCTGTGCCCACTAAGTTATACCCCTGTCCCCATAAAAATAAATTTTAAAAGAGTTGGGGATATAGCTAAGAATGAAGGCCCTGGCTTCAAAAAACAACAGTAAGAACAGTAAAATCTAGTATTTACCCTTTTCTTTTCTTTTTTTGTACCAAGGACTAAATTCATGACCTTGGACTTGCCAGGCAGACATTTGTGCCATGAGCTAAACCCCTGGCCTTGTACACTTTTGATATATATATAATGAACATACTCATCATAGGGAATCTGTACCTGTATATAGCATAACTTGATTCTTTTTTTCCCCATTCCTTTTCCAGCCATCCATTTTCATTTACAAAAGCTTTGTTTTCATATTTTCCTTCTCTCATTTTTTCCTTTTCCTTTCTCTCCCTTCCAACTATAATGCTTTATTCTACATGTAAACTTGGGAGTACAACAAAGTACAGAAATAGTCTAGAAAAAAGATTGTAGGATTGAGATAAATATTTAACACTATTAGCCAGGAGTGGTGGTAAATATTTGTAATCCCAGCACTTGGGAGGCTAAGCCGAAATGATGGCTGTGAGTTCAAGGCCGGCCTAAACTACATAGTGACACCCTTTCTTTTTTTGTGTGTGTGTGTGTGTTTTTCCTTTTTATCGGTACCGGGGATCGAACTCATGACTGCCTGCTTACAAGGCAGGCGGCTTATGCCACTGGGCTAAATCCCCAGCCCCGTGACACCCTTTCTTAAAAAAGGATTTAACGTTTTCTCAGGTATCTCAGATTTTGGATTTTTGTCTCTTCTACAGATTATTTTCTGCCCGTGTCATGAATAAATAAAAACTATTGTACAATTCCCATTCCTAAACCACTATTACAAGAACTCTTGCTTGATTCAAGAACTATTATAGCAAGAGGTTGCTATTAAAAATACAATTTGAATTTAACAAGCTATTCTGAAGATTTGCCATGTGCATTAAATGGAATTTTACTTCTGATTTAGCCTTAATCTTTTGCTCCTTTCAAACTGAATTACCATTTTCCATGCCAAATGACATCAAGATTTGACCTTAAGAACTATGATTTACCTAATCTGAACATAAGACCCATCAGTTCATTTCAGGAAACAGTATGACATAATTAATTTTAAAAACCTAACCCAAATGTAGGCTAATAGATATTTAATGCACTCATTCAACATTTCTTTGGTTCAAGGTAGATATGGCTCTCAAAAGCATAGTGCTAAGTAAAAGAAACCAGATATAAAAACTCATAGTATACAATATGATTGCACTGATTTGACATTCTAGAAAAAGTAAACGCAGATTAATGGTTCCAGGGGCTGGAAGTAAGGAACTGAATACAAATGGACAGGAGTCGAGATGTGTGTGTTTGTGTGTTATATGTAATAGAAATGTGGTATATATCATGATTTTGGCAGAAGTTGTACAACAATATGCGTTTGTCAAAATTCAAATTGTATACTGTGATGAACTTTACTTAAAATAGCTGAATTTTATTGTACATTATATATATATATATATAAGCTGTTTATTCTGTTATGGTACCAGAGATTGAAGTCAGGAACTTGAATATACTGGGGGAACACTTATCAACTGAGATATAACCCTGAGTCTTTAAAGTTGATTATTTTTAAATGCACATAACTGTTCATCTTTGTGAATAAAATCTTCTGAAGATACAATACTAGCAGGTGCTTCAACAAAGCTTGCTTTATGGTGAAAATGTAAAATGTATATATATTCCTTTACCTTTTGAATTTTCTAAACTATGTATATAATGCCTGTGGAAAAGTTACCCTTTCTGATATTAACTTGGATTAAATTAAGATACTAAAAATTGTCACCATCTGGAGAGTAACCTAATGAAGACCCAGTCAGACTAAATATACAACCAGTAATACTAACATTTACATCAAGATAAAAACTTAAGTAGGGTCCCTTTCCGGAACTTGCGTGGGGTGGGCTGGGGTGGGCAAGAAAAATCTGAAGTAGGATCTTTAATAAAGACACTGATCTACTAGCCGAGGATTTAGCTTAGTGGCATTAAAAAAAAAAAAAAAAAAAAAAAAAAGACACTGACCTAGACAGAATATGTGGAGGGGGAAAAAAGCTCAGTAAGTTCCCTTTATTACTTAGCTTTATTAATTGATTCCTTCGACTTTTCTTTAAAAAAAATTAATCAATTCTATGTTTTGCTTTCTTGAAACAGTTTTGCTATGCAGTTAAGGCTGGCTTTAAACTCTCAGTAATTTTCCTGCCTCAGGTTCCTGAGTGGTTGGGGTTACAGGCATGCAACATCACATTCAGTTTGACTTTCCTTTTTTTTTTTTTTTCCTCTTTTTCCTTTTTATCAGTACCAGGGATTGAACCCACAACTGCCTGCTTACAAGGCAGGCACTTATGCCGCTGAGCTAAATCCTCAGCCCCGACTTTCCATTTTTAAGAAAGTAGATTTAAAATTTTTTTAAAACACAGAAAAACTAAAAAATACAATCAGATTACTCTTGTCTATCTTATAGCAAATCACATTACTGGGATTAATAGAAAGACCAGGACAAAATCCAAGAACTAGGAATTAGTGGTTTATAGAAAACTTTGTTATGGAAAAAGCAAGAGAAATAAAGTACAGTAAAATATATTTATAATTGAATATAGAGAAAGAAGAGAGAAAGAAACTTTCAACTGAAGTAGAAAATCATCAATTTTTGTTTTGCTTTGCTTTTTGACACAGTGTCTTGTTTTGTAGCACAGGCTAGCCTTGAACTCACGGGGGATCTTGCTGCCTCAGACATCCAAGTGCTGGGATAATAGGCATGTACCAACAACACCAACACCAGCTCCACATCTGGCAGAAATTCTCAATTTTTAAAAGGATTTTTACATTCTTTTTTCAAAATCCTAAATAATAATAACAGGTTATTGTGCCTCTTCATGGTACCCACCCTACAGTATAGGGTATATTTTTATTTTTCCTTTCTTCTTGGCCCAAATTTGCTCCACAGAGCCCATTTCCCTGCTACCCTTCCAGGCTTTTCCCCCCTTTTTACATTTTTTTGGTACTAGTTGAACTCGGGGCCTTACACTCGCCAGGCAGTCCTAGCCCCCTTTCCTACCTTTAACAAATATAAAACTTAGCCACCTTTAATATTAATAATAATCACAATATTAAATAAAATGACTGGGCTCAACAGTGCAGTAAGTTGAAGTACAGGAATTGAGCCAGACTGGGCAATTCAGCAAGACCCTATGTCAAAATAAAATTAAGGACAAAGGTATAGCACAATAGTAAAGTACCCTTGGGTTTGCATTCTAGTAACACACACACATGCACAAATTTACTGGGGGAGAAAACTAGGCCTGGGGATTTAGCTCAGCAGCATAAGCATCTTCCGTCATAAATTCAATCCCCAGTACCAAAAGAGAAAACTATTTGTTTTACTTTCTTTGCTGCTACATACTAACCTTATACATAACAACACAGCAGAGCTGAGCATAGTAACACACATCTGTAATTCTATCACTCAAGAGGCTGAGAAAGAAGATTGCTCTTAAGTCTGGGCTACACTGCAGAATCCAAGGGCCAGCCTTCACTACGTATCAAGACCTTGTCTCAAAAAAACCAAAAAGAAGGCTGGGTGTGGTGGTACATGCCAGTAATCCTAGCACTCAGGAGACTGAAGCAAGAGGATTGCTGTCAGTTTGAGGCCAGCCTGGGCTACAAAGTCTACAGCTTCCCACCTCAGCCTTGCAAGTGCTGGAATTACAGGTGTGCACTACCACACCTAGCTCTATCCTCATGTATAGATTTTTCTTTCACTGTATCCTTAAGCAAGTTAAGCCTAGTTGGTTAAAACTAATGCTTTTTTTTTTTTTTTTTTTTTTTTTTTTTTAAACACAGTCTCACTCTGTAGTCCAGGCTAGCCCTGAATTCACTATGTAGCCTAGGCTGGCCTCAAACTCATGGCACTCCTGCCTCAGGAGTATTGGGATTACAGGTGTGCACCACCATGCCTAGCAAAACTACTGCATTTTCCTGGCTTGCTTCTTTTTTTGTTTTTGAGACTGAGTCCCACAATGTTGTTCAGACTGGCCTTACACTTGTGGACTCAACTGATTCTCTGTCTCAGCCTACAAAAGTAATTGCAATTACAGACATTTACCATCATGTCCAATTTTACTAGCTATTAAGTAGTCACTTCCTTCCCCAATCTTAACAGTTACCTGACCCTCAAAATTAAAGGAGGAAAGGTTTATTCAACTCAGTTTGTATAAGTTTTAGTCCAGAATTAGTTGGCTCAAAGGCATGGTGGCACATGATAGGCAACAGTTCATGGTGGGCAGAAGACAACAAAAGCAAGAAAGGAAGAGAAGAGACAAGCCTCTTTCTGTCCCTTACACTGCATGCTGGCTAGGTAGCCTAGCATGCAATATAATAGCCTATACCCTAAAGTGGGTGTAGCACTTATACCATTAATGACAGCACTGGAACATGAACCCATCACAAATTCTAGATTCAGCTACCTCTGAAAAGCTGAAACCTGCAACTCTAGAAGGCTTTGGGGAAACAGCTAGATACTAAACTGTAACATAGCATAAAATGAAACAGCAAGACAGAAAATGGAAAAAGTTGTATGGAGGGATAGGGTGAGGGGGTCCAGGCATCAAGGATCTCTGGTGGTTATAATCAAGATATTTGTAAATTTACAAAGAGATTGTGGGTCACAGAATTAAAGTATCTAACTAATGGTAAGAACCTGAGTATTGTACTATATTCACCACGCTTCTACAGCCTGGATCTAAAATAGAAATTTACAAGGTAGAAATACCTCAGAATGATACAGAGTATTTGCCCAGGAAATTAAGGTCTTGGGGCTGGGGATTTAGCTCAGCGGCATAAGCGCCTACCTTGCAAGCAGGCAGTCATGAGTTCGATCCCCAGTACCGATAAAAAAGAAGACAAAAAAAAAACGAAGGTCTTGTTGTACGTGGTGGCACATGCCTGTGAATCCAGCACTCAAGAAGCTGAGGCAGGAGAATCCCTGTGAGTGCAAGGCCAGTCTGAATTAGAGTGAGATCTTGTCTCAAAAAAGCAACAACAAAAACAAAACAAACAAAAAACCCAAACAACAAATACCCAAAAACTCAACAAAACCAGGGAACAGAAAATCGTATTTATTTAAACTAGACCTCCAGAAAACTATCACGTGCACAAAAGCTTGACTACCTTTATGTTTCCTAAGTTAAATAAGAACGAGACACTAAAGACAACAGTAGAAAACTCAGTAACTGCAAGATTTGGAAGGCCGGTAAAGCTGGACATGGCAGGACATACCCTGTCATCCCAGCCTGTGGAGGATGAAGCAGGAGGGCCAAAAGTTTCATCCCAGCCTGGGCAATTTAAAGTGAGTCAGGGAGACCCTATCTCAAAGTAATTTTTTTAAAAGTCTTTTTGAGACAGGGTCTTGCTATGTGGGGTTCAGGCTAGACTTAGGCTCACTTTGTAGCCCAGGTTGATCTTTAACTTGCAAAGATCCACCTGCCTCTCAGCCTCCCAAGTGCTGGGATTACATGTACCACCACACCTGGTTTTTTTTTTTTTTTTTTTTTTTTTTTTCAAAATAAGAAATTTTAAGAAGGAAAAGTCCTGTGTTTTATCTCCAGCACTGAAAAAACCAACCTCCAAAAAAATACAAAACCAAAAGAATGAAGCTGAATTCTAGAAATATACTGATGGAAGTATGTATTGACGTAAGTCATCTTTCTGAACTAAATATAAGCTTGTACTCTAAATTGAAGTCAACCTAAAATTTAGAAAATGTTGACCCTGAATTTACCAACTAGCTTTGCCCAATCCTAACTCTCCTGCATTAGTTTTACATCTTTACAGTATCTCCAAGGAACCCCTCAAAAGAACCTGACCATGGTAAATATAGTGTTTCTCACTCCTATAAATTCTCTTATATTATTTTGTGTCCAATAACACTATAGTACTGTTTTTCTTTCTTTTGAGGGGAGAAGGGTTGGTGCCTCCCAGTATGCTGGTATTTATAGCCATGTGGTATCTCACTCAGCTCTTTTTTGTATTTTTATCTTTTATTTTATTAGTATTTGTGTGTGTGTGTGTGTGTGTGTGTGTGAGAGAGAGAGAGAGAGAGAGAGAGAGAGAGAGAGAGAGAGTGTGTGCACGCACGCGCACGCACGTGCGCATGCACTACAAATCAAGCTCAGGACTTTTACTTGACAGGCAGGCACTGCACCAGTGAACCATATTCCTAGCCCCAACCAGCTGGTTTTCAACTCTTCTTTAGAAAGTATTATGGGGCATTCGTGCTTCTATACCACACTTCCCACCTCGAAATGAAGTGTTTTTTCACAAAAATACATAGTACATCTAGTTCATTCCTGTTTCCACTGATGCTTATTTTGCTATTCTATGTGTAAACCAAAACATGTTGCATTTTTTTTCTTTTTGCAGTGCTGGGAACAGAACTCAGGTGGCTCCACCACAGAGCTATTCTTAAAACCTTTTTTACTTTTTATTTTGAGACAAGATCTTACTAAATTGCTTGTGTTTGGCCTTGAAATTGAGCCTCACCAGTAGCTGGGATTACAGGCAGGCACCACCATACCAAGCTTGCCCTTTATTTATTCTATACGCATTATTCTGGATATTTAAATTATTATAATTCAGGAACCTTCCCCCTTAAGTCATATTTTAATTAATTCTATAGTTAATGTTTCACATAACAAATTAGATGCTACTTATTTCTTGTCGAGTTTTTGCTTTTACCCAGGGTCTTGCTTTGTACTTCAGACTGATCTTGAATTGACTAGGCCACACTGGCACCCAACTCCCGGCAATTGTCCTGAGTGCTGGGAGTATAGATGTGCATCACTACACCTGGCTAATTGCTACTACTAGAAAAGAGTTTTCTCCCAAATAGGTCACTATTTTTTCCCCTTTGTGTGTTTTTGTGTGTGTATGTGGAAGGGACAGTACTGAGGATTAAATCTAGGGCCTTCAAAATGATACAGAGTCAGGCCTTTTTATATATCTACCTATCTATCTCAACCATACATTTATACAGGGTCTTGCTATATAGTTCAGGCTGGGCTTGAACTCACAGCAATCCTCCTGCCTCAGGTGTATGCCACTATGTCCAGCTTTGATTTTATATTTTAAGACAGTGTCTAAACTATTAGCTGGGGGGTATAGCTCAGTGACCCAATCACCTACCTGGCAAGAAGAGCAAGGTCCTGAGTTTGAGTCCCAGCTAGCTAGCTAAACTGCACAGACTAGGCTCAAACTTATGATCCTCCTGTCTCAACATCACTCCCACTCCCCTGCTTGGATTACTAATGTGTAACCACCACACCTGGCTTGGATCACTATTTTCTAAATTTATTTAAAAATAAAACAACTTTGGATTATCTCCACGTCAATAATTAAGTTTTAAATTGGGCATGGTGTTATACACCTGTAACCCTGGCACCCAGGATGCTGAGGCAAGAGGACTGCCTGACCTCAACGCCAATCTGGGCTACAAAGAAGTTCAACGCCAGCCTCAACTCACAAGTTCTTGTGTTTACTTACATAGTATGAAATACTTCATTATATATGTAGCATAAAAATCTACTTTGGAATCGTAGATCAGAGGTAGAACACTTCCTAGCTTGCACAAGGCTTAGAGTTCTGTGCCCAGTAGGTGTACACACACACACACACACACACACACACACACCCCTCCACACATGTGAGTTTTTTGTTTTGTTGTTTTGTTTTGTCTTGTCTCTGTCTTTCTGAGACACAGTTTTGCTACATAGCCCAGGCTGGCCTTAAACTCTCGGGGTTCCTATAGTCTTCCGAGTGCTGGGATTAGAGGTGTGCACCATCACACCTTGTTCAGGTTTTCTAAATCTTACTTGATGTTTTTTCATCATTATTCTCTTAGGTAACTTACAGCAAATCAATCAGGCTTTGAACCTGTCCAAATCAGCTTTTACATCTATAAAACAATACACTGTGCAGTAATGCATACTTGAAGCCCCACCTTCTCAAGAAGCTGAGATAGGAAGATTGTTGAGCTCAGGAGTTCAAGGCCAGCCTGGTCAACATGACAAGACCTATGAAAATCAAAACAAAACAACCCCGAGACAATGAGTTCAAACAATCTATCAAAAAAATTGCAGTTGATGTCTCTCTTCTGCTTCTAGACTGCAAAGGAATTATATAGTTATTGCTATTTTTTCCCCAAAGTCACTCCAAAACAGCGTGTGGTGGCACACACCTGTAATCTTAGTACATGGGAGGCTAAGTTAGGAAAACTGCCAAGAGTTTGAGGCTAACCTTGGCTTCCTAGTGAGTTCAAGATCAGCCTGAATGGCATTGAGACCCTGTCTCACAAAGACAATGATCAAACAAACAAGCAAAAGTCACTCTAGTACTCTGGGAGGCCAAGGTAGGATGATCAGAAACTTGAAGCCCAGTCTGGGCAACTCAGCAAAGTTCCTGTCTCAAAAACAAAAAGACATAAGCTGGGCATGGTGGCACATACCTGTAATTCTAGCACTCAGAAGGATCACTGCAAATTCAAGGCCAACCTGGGTTACAAAGTGAGTTCAAGGCCAGCCTGAACTGCATAGCAAAGCCCTGTCTCAAAGAGACAAAAATAAAAGCAATGAAGAACGCATTCTGGGGACTGGGGATTTAGCTCAGCGGCATAAGCACCTGCCTTGCAAGTAGGCAGTCGTGAGTTCGATCCCCAGTACCGGTAAAAAGAAAAAGAAAAAGAAAAAAAAAAAAAAGTGTAAAAAAAAAGAAGGCATTCTGGCAAGTGGAAGGTCCTGGGTTCAATTCCTGATGCAAAATAGACAGATAGAAAGGCAGGCAGGCACTTAGAAATGTAGCTCAGTGTGAAGTTCTAATACCCATTTAAAAAACCAAAGAAAGGTCTAGAAAAAGGTAATCAGACATAATGATACATGCCTAAAATCCCAGCCTCTGAAAGGCTGAGGCAGAAGGATTACAAATTTGAGGCCAGTCTGGGCAACTCAGCAAGACCTTACCTCAAAATTAAAAAACAATTAGGGGCTGGGGATTATCTCAGTAGCATAAGCACCTACACAGCACCGATTTAAAAAGAAAAAAAAATTAAAACTGGGTTATGGATGCAGCTCAATGTGAAGGTCCTAGATTTAATTCCTGTATTACAAAACAAGTGTGGGGAGGTATGTGGGGATTGAGGATGTAGTTTCGTGTGATGCCCTTGGGAACAATCCCCAATACTACACAAAATGAATTTTAAAAAAATATAACATTAAGCTAAGTCCCAAATTTTTTTTCTTTCAGTGCTGGACATTGAACCTAGTCTTGTGCTTGGTAGGCAAGCACTCTTACCACTGAGCTACACCCCTGGACTCCCCGATCATTTTATCTACTATTATGGCTGTGACTAGATGAGCACTCAAGCAGTCACAGGTGGGGCTTTTTCAGAAGTAGGCAGACCTAGAGTTTATGATGCTAAGTGAAACATGGTACAATGGTAAGATCAAGGGTGTGAGTGCTACCAGTCCTAAGTAGCCTGGATAAAATAGTAAGAGAAAGAGCTGTGGTCATCTCTTGTTGCTTGCTTTGCTGTTTTCTGCCCACCATAAATTGCTTTTCTTCTGTGACACCCCTCTACCATGACACCCTGCTTTGGAGCCAGCTGATTATGGACTGAAACGTCTACAAACTGTGAGCTAAAAAATAAACCATTTCTCCCATAACTTGTGGGAGCTGGATATTTTGTCTCAGCAACAAGAAAAGTAACATATCTATCTTCACAATAAGCACAGTTGTGGTTCTAAAGCACAGCAAACCAGGGGTAATGGTGTATGCCTGTCATCTCAGCACTGTGGGGTAGAGCAGTGGACTGCTGTGAGTCTGAGACTGGCCTGGGCCACATAGTGAGACTGTCTCAAAAATCTAAAGCACATCAACATCAATCATTTCCAATTACAAAGATAAATGTTCATATGCCACATTTTTAAGATTCACTCTTTAGGGCTGGGGATTTAGCTCAGCGGCATAAGCACCTGCCTTGCAAGCAGGCAGTCGTGAGTTCGATCCCCGGTACCGATTAAAAAAAAAAAAAAAAAAAGATTCACTCTTTATTCCTCATGGGCCACATTATCTTTCCAAGCACCTTCTTTTTTGAGGGGGTGGGAGTTGAGACAGGGTGTTCACTACATAATTCAGCTTGGCCTCAAACTTGTGGCAATCCTACTGTCTCAGCTTCCCAAGGACTGCAATTACAAATGTGTGCCACCAGCAAGATGTAATTATTAAAGCTGAGTGAGTGTGGGGGCTGGGGATTTAGCTCAGCGGCATAAGCACCTGCCTTGCAAGCAGGCAGGTCGTGAGTTTGATCCCCAGTACCTATTTAAAAAAAAAAAAAAAAAAAAAAAAAAAAAAAGGAATAAAGCTGAGTGTGATGGCACATGTGTATAATCCCAGCACTTAGGAGGTTGAGGCAGGGGGACTGCCCTAAGTAAATTCAAGACCAATCTCAACTATATAGTGAGATCCTGTCTCAAAAACAAACAGGTTTAATTACTGAACCTGAATGGAAAAGATGTTTAGGAGTAAGACTGAATAATACTACAGAGCAAAAGGGCCAGGGATTTAGTTCAGTAGGACAGCCTGGGAAGTGTGAGGTCCTGAGTTTGATTTCTGGCATCTCTCCCCACACAAAAAAAGAGAACAAAGAATTTCTCTTTTTGAGCATTTCAGCAGCAACCATTTAGATGAAAATGTTCTGGCATCAGAAAGGCAGTATTCTGTTTATTATTAATGCATTTTTTTTTTAACTTAATTCTCAAACCATCCTCCTATCTCAGCTTCCTAAGTAGCTGGGACTATAAGGAAACACCACTGTACTGGGCTATCTTTTATTAATTAGTGAGGATCAACAGTGTTTCCTAGGGCTGGGTGAAAGAGGGGCCCACCAGTGCACATGGAACAGAACACCAAAAATCTTGTTTCTAGACTTTCTTGGCCTGCTGCTGCAGCAGTAGAGACTGAATCTCACAATGTGCTGTATCTTCAGCATCCTCTTATTAAAAAATGTTTTATGAGACAGGGTCAAGCTAAATTACCTACACTGGGCTCAAACTTGTCAACCTCCAGCCTCAGCCTCCTAGAGTGCTAGGATTGCAAGCATGTGTTACCACAATGAGGATCGTAGAACTTATTCAGGTTTAACTAATATACTCATAACCTAATTTTCTTTTCTTTTCTTTTTTAGACAGGGTCTCACTCTGCAGTTTAGGCTGGTCTTGAACTATGTAGCCCAGGCTGGCCTTGAATTGACAGTAATTCTCCTGCCTCAGCCTCCCAAGGCTGGGATTATAGACATGCCACCACACCTGGCTCATGGTTTTTTTTCTGCACACAGTCTGACTGTTGTGATCCTCTTGCCTTTGCCTCCCAAATGCTGACATTATAGCCGTGTGCTACCATGCCTGGTGATTTAACATTTTTTAAATGGTGGAACACTTAAAGTATATTCTTCTAGCAATTTTCAAAAGAATAGCTCACATTTTTAAACTGCACCTCCTACGTTGTATAAGAGCTCTTAACTTACTCATTACTTGACACTTCGTATACGTCAACTAAATTATTCTCCCCAGCTTTCAAAGCCCTGTACCTGCATCCCCCATGGAGCATGAGTCTGGCTTTTAGACTTTACACAGAAGTGAGATCACATGGCTGTTTCTGTGCCTGGCTTCCCTCACTTAATAATGAACTCGAGATTCATGTATGTTGTTACAGTAACAGGATTTCCTTTTTTTAAAAATTTTAGTCTGAAGAGTATGCCACTATTTCATAAAACTTTTTCTTGACAAGGTAGTAGCCGACACCTGTAATCCTAACACTTGGGAGGCTGAGGCAAGGAGCACTGCTGTGAGTTTGAGGCCAGCTTGGGCTACCATAGCAAGATCTCATCTCAAAAAACAAAAAAAAACTTTTTCTTAGTTTACTGGCTTTTTAATTTCAAAAAGTTTATGTGTCTCTAGGAATATGCTACCTTGCATACTCTCCCCCTTCTATTCTCTTCCATGTACTTTCAGGCTTCACTTAAATGTTGGTCTTCCTGGAAGTCACTTCATTTCCATTTGTTCCTTATTTAATACTGCAGAAAATTACAAGTTGCTTATACAATTAGCATTATTCATACTTATCTGTGTGCTTATTTAATGTCTCTTGAGCCAGTAACAATAGGGGTAACCTCTAGCTTTCTGCTCAGCACACAGAACTGCTTAGTATTTCTGGACTGCAAAGTTTTTGGACTGCAAAGTTGAATTACATATGGTTAACTACCTAAACAAAGATATTTAATATTTTAATGCCATATTTCATTAATTATAATATGCACTGTTAACATGCCTGAAATGAGATTGCATATAACAATGACACGTTAAATTAATAGGCAATACACTTCCTTTCTTAGTATAATGACATCTTCTGATTTATAGCATCTTAGATTCAATGAAAATACATAAAAAAAATATTGTCTCATCCTAACATTGCAGTCTTAAGATCATACACTCCTAACAAAGGATAAGTTTAGAATCTTGGTAATCAGGACCAGAATAAAAGATCACTGAGTAAATGATTGAGATAGAATAGGAAAACCCTAACTATTCCAGAAAGACTACTACTACTGTAGTAAGCAGGGAAATAAATCAGGGGAGCACACATGGTACCAAAACCAAAGCAGGCAAACAACTGTTCCTTACTACCCAATGCTGTAGCTAATGAGTTGGGGTGGTTAAACACTCAGGGCAGGTCTGACTCCCTCTGTCAGGGTTTGAAATTCTCTGTACTGTCAGTTACTGAGGCAGTGGTCTCTGTTCTCTACTACTCTGTCCAAAATGCGTGTGGCACACAGCCAGGCAGATGGGAAGAATCTATGAGCAAACAAACAGATGGCAGAACATCTATGCCAAAAGACTTCACTATTCACTAAACTCCAAAGAAAACTCTGCAATGGCTAGGAAAGCATTTCCTTCCTGGAACCTGGGTAACCAGGATCTCTTCTATCCACTGAATCTTATCTTAACCAGCAACATAGCAAAGT